CCGATCTATCTTACAAGTAGAATGGCAGATAAACCTGAGCAAATTCAAGTACCGGTAACAAGCGAAAAGAAGAAGGACCCTAGAAGAGTAGAGGCAGGGAAACGACTAGCTGCAATCAGTAAAATAGCAAAGGAAAGAAAAAAGAAACAGGCTGAACCTAACGAGTTACCTAGTAATGACAGTATGATTACCTATATAGGAGTGACCATTGCATTGATATCCCTTGTGCTAGCATATAAAACACATCAGAGGGAAACTAGGGAACCAGAACCTGAGTACATCCTTGAAACTGTAGAAGTAACTAAGAGACCTAATGAGTCCAAGTTAGATTCACTTGAATGATACACTAAACATACCATATATTATAACAAGATGAGTAAAGAATCAAAGATGACTAGGGAAGTATACGACGCAGTGTTACTTACAGCAGGAGCAGTTGGTATATCAATAGCATCAAAGAAAATATTGAAAGAACCCCTAGGTACCCCAGAGAATGTAAAGGGAATGGTAAAATTAGCTGTTTCAGTTAGTCTTTCATCTCTACTGGTCTCTTACTTGAAAGAAAAGAAGTATCTACCAGATGATCCATTCAAAACCTAGGTAAAACTATACAATGGCAGAGGCAGTAGCAGGGGGACTCTTTAATGCATTTGCATTTGCGGGAGCAGGATACCTATTTAAAATGTTTGATAGGAATGGATACGCTGAGGAAACTCATAGACATAACAAGGCAATGGAGAACCTAACAGCTGAAAGAGAGAAGTACCTCGAAGAGGTCACTGATAGGAGAAATAGGATTGCCCAACTGAAGTCAGAACTAGCTGATGCAATTAGGGATATTAAGTCAACGAACCAGTCATTAGAACTCGTTAGAAGAATCAATGAGTTAACACGTAAGCCTATGCCAAGGAAGCCGCAATTGAGCAATCACTACAAACCTAGCTCTGAAATGGAAGAATATATGGCACTATTTGGTTTAATTACAGGTGGGGTGGTTGGAGGGGCATCTTATTTAATCCTATAGAAAATACCATAAAAATTTTCACACCTATAAGTATAGGGAAATGGAATGGTTACAGATGGTAACACCTGAGGAGATAGCACATGTAGGTAAAAGGGCAAATACACTGGAAGAGTTAGAGGCTGCTGTGAGAAAGCACGTAGAGAATAGAATAAAGAGAAAATACACATTTGATCCAATATGTAGTGAATGTGGAAGTAAGTCTATTGTAATGATAGATGGGGCAGATACATGCACACAGTGTGGTGCCAGTGATATGAATAACTTCTCATACTACGTTAGTTACAACTACAACAAGGACGACTATCTGAAGAAGAAATCTTGTCACAACTGAGTCCGTTGGTTTGAGAGACACTTGTTCGAACATGTTGCTTCTAGGGATAGGGATATAATAAGGGAGCAGTTTAGAAGCATCGTAAGATGCATACAAAGACTTAGACTGCAAAGGGGGCGCAATATAGTAAGATATAAGTTTTACCTCCTGAGGATAGCCAGTATGAATGGTATATCTTTAAGGAACCCTCCAGAGGATATTAAGACTCAAAGGATTGTGGACATCCTTGAGGATAGATTGTATGGGAAAGTTTTTGTTGAGATTGGATGGAAACCTGAGAAATGTGAATATTATAATAAATGGAAAATAAAGAATTTAATATAACAAAATTAAATGATTAATTTTAATATAACAAAAATAATTAATTTTAACATAATAAATGATTAATTTTAATATAATAAAAATAAATGATTAATTTAATGGAAAAATAATTGAGGTATTTAATTGGTAATAAATTATTAATTAAATACCCCAATTTATTTTTACATATATAGTATATAGGAACTGTTAGAAAATATGGCGAGTTACTTTAACATGAACGAATTCAGTGTAGAACAACTTTTGGCTCTCAACAGTATCATAGACAGTGATAAGGATATAGATACAAGGGTGGAGGACATTCTGATGGACAGAAACTACAGGATTGCTCCTGATGACAAGGGTGAGAGTCCATTCCAGGGAGAAAGACAATTCGTAGATGAAGTTGACCGTGATATGGAAACAAAGAAGCCAAGACGTATTCCTAAAAACTATAAGGGTAGAAGAGGAATTATGCCAACATGGAAGTACTCCGACAGACAAAAGGCTAAGGCGCTACTTGTAGAGGAGGCATACCAGGGTTTCCTCTCTAAGGGAGTTCAAGGACTGCCGCCAAGAATGGGAGGTAGATGGCGCACAGACGATCCTCAAGTAAATGAGGAAATTAAGAGGATTGAAAACGAAAGGAATCCTAAGATAAAGCGTCCTAGAGGTAGACCACCAAAGGTAAAGGTTGACGCTGAAGTAAAGGTTCCTAAAAAGATAGGTAGACCACCAAAGGCAAAAGTTGACACCGAAGTGAAGGTTCCTAAAAAGAGAGGTAGACCACCAAAGGCAAAGGCTAATGTTAAGGTCAGGAAGCAAACTGTAGCTGAAAGATTCCTGAATCAAAGGAAGGTAAAACTCTCGGTGCCAGCAGATAGTATCATAACTCCAACAGGTCCAGGTAAGTTTACAATTCACGTGGATCTTAATAAGAGACCAGTGAGGAAAGCTCCTGAGGTACCTAAGGGTGTAGCCCCATGGAGACCGATACCTAAGCCTAGAACGGTACTTCCTAGGGAAAGACTTGTGCCGAAACCCAGGACTAAGCTTCTTAAGGAAAGACCTGTACCAAAACCTAGGACTAGGAAACTAGTTTCTCCTCCTAAGGTCCGTAAGCCTGTAAGAGTGTCGAGGGAAGTCAAGGAGCAACCTGCAGTGGTTACACCAGAGGAATACGAAATAGATCCATTCGGAACAGACCTTGAAAAGCCATTTCACAGGAAAATCGAAACAGCCGCAAATGGAGCCGCTGTGACTTACTCGATAACTCCTCATTATATGGACCCTCTGGACCAGATGACTGCAAGTAGACAGGTAGTGAGAGGAATACTTGTGAACGAGTTAAAGAGAATGGGTGGGTTGAAGTACACAGCGACTCTGAAGGTGAGAATGTCAAAGGAAATTGGTGATGGGAAAACCAAAAAGGACTCAGTCTACTTCAAATCTAAGACTGGTACTGCAACTAACTTCGAGGATATTGAAAGTACAGCTGCTCAAAACCAACTGACAATATTGTCTAGGATTGAAACCTTCCAAAACTTAGGTTCAAATTGGATTATACTCAATATTGAGAGTCATTACGTAAACATTGCAATGTATAAACCGTTAAAGGGTAGTTCATATATGAAACTTCCCAAGGATATTAGTAATTCAATGTGTGGGCTCATCAATATGAAGAACAACGACAACCTGTGTTTCCTGTGGAGTCATGTGAGACATCTGAATCCTAAGGCTAGAAGAGCAACCACTATCACACAGAAAGATAGGGAATTCATAACAAACCTGGACTATGACGGTATAGACTTCCCCGTGAAGATAAGTGACATTGATAGAATTGAGAGGAAAAACAGTATCAATATATCAGTGTTCGGTTACAAGGGTAAGAAACAGTTCTACCCCATAAGGAACTCGAAGTCCGCATACGAGGATCATATGGAACTTCTACTCCTAGGTGATGGTAAAGGTAACAACCATTATGTGCTCATAAAGGATGTAAACAGGATGCTTTTCAGTGTAAGTAAACATACACATAAGAAGCACTTCTGTTTACACTGTCTTCATAGTTGTGTGAGCAAAGAGGTACTGGAGAAGCATAAGGAAACATGTCTGGAGGTAAATGGAACTCAGGCTGTAAAGCTTCCCAAGGAAGGGACAAAAATCAAGTTCAAAAATCACAGGAACTCAATGCCTGTGCCGTTTGTGATATACGCTGATTTTGAGTCCATACTAGTACCAGAGGAGAGAAAAGTGGAGTCAGAAAACCCTGAGGATAAAAGTAGTACAGATCTTTACCAGACACACAAGGCTTGTAGTTTTGGTTTGAAGACTGTCTGCCACTATGATGATAAGTACTCCGGTGAGTATAAGAGTTACGTTGGAGAGGATGCTGCATTGGTCTTCCTAAAGACTGTATTGAAAGAGTCCTTCAGATGTAGAGAGATGGTCAACAATATATTCAAGAAAAAGATGGTAATTACACCCAAACAGGAATTCGAATTCCAGGCTGCAAGAAACTGTTCAATATGTGGTTACGATCTATGGTGAGGATAGGGTGAGAGACCACGACCATGTAACAGGTAAGTACCGTGGAGCTGCTCACAATATATGTAATCTGAAATACAGAATTACATGGAAAGTACCTGTGGTCTTCCACAACCTGAGAGGTTACGACAGCCATCTGATTATGCAGGAAATTGGTAAGTTTAAGATGAACGTCAACGTGATCCCAAATAATATGGAAAAATACATCTCATTCTCACTGGGTAAAAATCTGGTCTTCATAGACTCTATACAGTTCATGGCTTCTTCACTGGAAGCACTGGTGAGTAACCTTTCACCTGAGGACTTCAGGATAGTAGGTAAGAGGTGGAAGGGTGAGGACTTCAATCTAGTGACACAAAAAGGAGTGTTCCCATATGAGTTCCTAGATGATATTAGCAAACTTAATACAGAAGGTCTTCCGAGTAAGGATAAGTTCTACTCTTCACTGTATGAGTCAGAGGTGAAGGAAGAAGATTACCAGAGAGCTCAGAAAGTATGGGATCACTTCAAGATGAAAACCATGAGAGACTACCACGATCTCTACTTGGAGACTGACGTTCTTCTGCTGGCTGATGTGTTTGAAAACTTCAGGAGAACATGTCTGGAAAGTTATGAACTTGACCCCGCACATTACGTGTCAGCACCTAGTCTGAGTTGGGACGCTTTCCTGAAAAAGTCAGGTGAAGAAATAGAACTTGTAAGTGATATGGATATGTTCCAGTTCTTCGAGAAGGGTATGAGAGGTGGTACAAGTTATATTGCTCATAGACACTCCACAGCTAATAATAAGTACATGGAGACGTACGATGAGTCGTCTGAGAACAAGTACCTAATGTACCTCGACGCTAATAATTTATATGGCTGGGCGATGTCACAACCACTACCTAATGGAGAGTTTGAGTGGGTTGAGGAAGTTGATGGTATTAATCTAGAGGATTACTTAGGAGACAACGAAAGAGGAATGGTTTTGGAGGTTGACCTGGAATATCCACAAGAACTTCACAACCTACACAACGGTTATCCTCTAGCACCGGAAAGTAAGGAAATCAGTGCTTCTATGTTGTCAGATTATGCGAAGAGTATTGCTGAGAAATTCCAACTGACAATTGGAGGAGTAAGAAAACTGGTGAATTCACTAGGACCTAGGAAGAAGTACGTCTTACATGTACGTAATCTGAAATTGTACACAGACCTTGGGATGAAACTCACGAAGGTCCATAGAGCGGTTACATTCAAGCAGTCTCCCTGGCTTAAGAACTATATAGACTTCAATACAAAGAAAAGGTCTGCAGCCCGTAATACGTTCGAAAAGAACTTCTTCAAGTTGATGAACAACTCAATCTACGGAAAGACTATGGAGAATCTTAGGAAAAGGGTTGATGTGAAATTAGTGTCCTCCAAAGACGACCTCCTAAAACTGACAGCATCACCTTGCTTCCAGTCACATCGAATCATGAATGAGAATCTTATAGTGGTAAAGAGGATGAAAGAAGTGCTAACGCTGAATAAGCCGTGTTACGTAGGAATGAGCATCTTAGACTTATCCAAGACTTTAATGTACGATTTCCACTACAACACCATCAAGAAGGAGTACGGTAATTGTTCAAGGTTACTGTTCACCGATACTGACAGTCTGATGTATGAACTGAAGACAGATGATGTCTATGAGGACTTCAAGAGGATCGGTGAGGAGCAGGATTGCTGGGATAATTCAGATTACCCAAAAGATTCTCCATACTACTCAACCCACAACAAGAAGGTTATAGGTAAGTTTAAGGATGAAGCTGAAGGAGTACCCATAATTGAGTTTGTTGGGTTAAGATCAAAAATGTACTCCTATGTTAAGGAAAATGGTGGAGGTGGAATGACTGCCAAAGGAGTTAAAAAGTATGTCATCAGAAACAAGCTCACTCATGAGAACTTCAAGAATGTAATCAACACAAAAGGTAGGATGAGACACAACATGAATACAATCAGGAGCACAAAACATACAATTGGAACTTATGAAATGAGAAAGGTTACTCTGAGTTGCTTCGATGATAAAAGGTATCTTTTGGAGGATGGAGTTACCAGTTATGCTTATGGTAACAAGAATATAAAAAATAGTGACTGAGAAGTTCCCACAGAGTAGAAAGTAATAATCCTAAAGGGTAAATAAGCAGGTAGGGCCCCCTGCCTTATGTACCCCCAGGGAGAAAATAAAAGTTGTCGAAAAGGCTCTGGAATAAAGGAATTGGACGATATTGGAGAAGTGTAGGATAATCGTATTAGAGTCTCAGCTGGACTGGTAAGGTAATCCCGAAGCTTTGAGATAAGTTAAACGAAAAACAAGAATAGCAGTTTCACATTCTAATTAAATAGACCCCATGGAACTGCTGAAGTCTCGCAAACCCACTCGTTGAGGTGCGAGACCATTTAATTTTAATATAATAAAAATATATGATTAATTTTAATATAATAAAAAAATAAATTATTAATCTTTACCGAAGGAAAAAAACTAGTGGTCTAGAAAAAAAAAAGCTGATGGTCTAGAAAAAAAACTAGTGGTCTAGAACCGGCAGTTCCTATATTACTTTTCTTCGCTCGCTTAAAAGTTAAAAATTCAAACGACAGTAAAAGCATACACGTGACGTCACTGAGTACATGTTAAGAGAGATCTTCAAAGAAAGTTTAAAAAAGTTAACAAAAGTCTATAAAAGTTAAGAAAGTTAGATTTAAAAAAAATCTTAAAAAAGTTAGATTGGGGGTTAGGGGTTGGGGATTAGTGTTAGGGGTTAGGTGCCGCGAATTTATCATATTGATAAATTCGGACGTGTTTAATATGATGAGTAAATACTCATATAGTAAATTCAAAGGTGTAGCTCATGCTGGAGAATACTTGAGAAGCGTGTAAAACACTCGGCTACGCCTCTTGTTTAAAAGCTTCTCTCGTATTCTCCCAACATTCCCCGCGTGCATTATCACACCATAAAGCACGCGACTCGTTTTCAATTTCTTAAATAAACCAGTTTATATTATCTTAGGACTAGTATCTATAATTAAATTGTTGTTTTTATATTGTATCGAATAAAATTTAGCAAGAATATGCTTAACTTTTTTATCAAATAGCAGTCAAGTTGGCCACAGACCAATTTCTCAAATATTTTTGCAGCGACATGTAAAACCAGTGGCGGAAATCTTGCACCTTCACGGAAATTTTGACCTAAAAGAGGGCCAAAAACAGTCTTTTCGAGTGCAAATGGGGGGATACGTCGGAAATTTGAAAGTTTTGTCGGAAATTTAGGAGGCTTTGCAGGTTACAGTATCCTTCTAACTGGAATGAATTATTATCCGCACTACTGTCAGGTCTTGTATCATAAACACTTGAAATGTCCAGTGGTTTATCGTGCGAATAAAATCTAATTGTTCGATGTGCTATGTGAGGAAGTGATGTTTAAAAGACCAACTGAAAAACCTTTAAGTTTCTTAAGCTCAGTACGTAAAATATTTTTATTATTTCAATTATCAGCTGATGTATCATGCGTGACATTATTGTCATCATCTTTATATTTATATTTACCGTCGCAGGATTGTCCCCGTTTTATATTCCCCAAAACGTGGACTTTTAGTGTCTTGTTTGCTAGACATTCTTTATGTGAGCAAAAATATTTTTGGCTAACAAAAAAGAACCTGGCCGGTTGAAATGAGGTCCATGCTTATTAAGACGTCTTTTATCAATATTAGCACGATTAATTATTAGTACAGCAATAGGAGATTTACTAATAGGTTGTTTACCTCAATTGCTTTGCTTTTAAGGGAGTGTTTGTCTTCTCCTAACTAATTTTTTCAGATACTGTAATCTTGATTTCTGGATTAATATTATTTCTCTTAATTTATTCGAGTCGCATCTAAGTGGTAATTAAAACATAGCAAGATATAAAATTTTCTTTAGAGGAAATGAATATGTAATGCATATGCTTCTCACTGGTTAGAATTTTTCCAAGGGGGGTGGGGGCTTCCTCCACAACTTCATTATTTTTTGCGTTCATCAACGAAATCTTAATATGTTACTATAATTGGTTATTTTGATCAGTTAAATTCTTATAGATTGACGTGATATTTTTAGATATTAAATCTTTAATCTACCATAAAAAATTTTAATCTTATTTTGAATCTTGCGTAGATATATAGATATGCCATTGGGAAACTCTGAATGCACACTTTCAATTAAGTGCAACATTCCACCAGTGATGTCTACATGACTGTGTAGTAATTTACAATGTATCTTTTATCTACCAAAAAATGTCTATCATATTATCAACAGATAAATTGACCTGTGGTGAGAACAAAATGAAGATATTTATTCATTAATCACTTCTCAAAGTTTCTTCAGACTCACAACTGCAACTTTGTGACAGTCAGGGACACCGGAACGATAAAAAGGCAAGGGGGGAAAATGCACACCAAAGGGCACCTCTATGTGTTGACTTGCCAATCGGAAAGCAAACGCACTTAATCAGGTCACATTCAAGATCACACTTCATGATTTTGCCCAAAAAGCATCACTGGAAACGTGATTTATCAGGTAGTATTTTATAACTCAAAGGGCACTTCTGCCCCCCTTGCCCCTCCTAGCAAAAGGCAAGAGGGGCAGCTGCCTCTCCTGCCACCCCCCAGTTCCAGCATCCCTGGTGACAGTTCATGCAAACCTCGAGTAACGAAGTTCTATTACGTCTTTACTACTTCACTCACTGCATGTGGTACAACTATGACAACAAAAAATGGCGGGAAAACAGTTTCATTTCATAACAAAGTTGTTGAGAGATTACCAGGATTTGGTAAATCCATTTCGAGATCTAAAGAAGTCAATTTTCCTTTCAAATGTAATTACCCTCAAAGTTATCTTGTCTCATCCTCCACATTTGGTCTTGCTAATTTTTCCGTCTCTCCAAACAATTCCAGTGGAAATGGTAACATGTCGTTAACAATGGGGCTCAATAAAGATCAATAATTTAGTAAATCACTTGTTGGAGATCCTTCAGACCTTCACTGAACGAACGTCTGTATGTTGAATTTGGAGTGAACGCGACAAACTCAATTTCAGAGAAGTCATCGTTTGGAATCAATTTAAATGAATGTTACGTCACTTCAAAAAGTTCCTTGGCTGAATATAAATATCTCCTGATTGAACTCGGGTAAGTAAGAATTAGATCAATGGCAAGAGAGTTGCAAAAAATGCAGCAATGTTTCTCTATTTAAAAAAAATAAAGTGTGCAAGCTAGTGTATTACACATAGTGTCGGTGTTCGAGGAAATTTGGCCGCCTTTAAATCCCCCTGGCGTCATACAGTTCCCAGCAAAATTGACTCCACAGGGAGACAGGTTTCCTAGGAAACTATATGCCCTTTCTTATATTCAGAAAGTCACGCCCTGAGCCCACATTTTAGGATTGAACAAACATAGACATAATCCATGAACCCAAGTTTATTTCTAACACATTTAATTAATAACAAGCCTGAAAAGTATAATGCTAGCAATGCAAATGATGTTCTAATGCCATGCACGTAAATGTAGAATTACTGTAGATAAACGTTCCAAAGCGTTAGTTATTGCCATCAGCGCTGAAATTTCTGACGCATGGGCACCGGGCCCAGGTTTATGGCTTCCTACAATTTCCATGAAAGCAAGTGACTATAATAATTATTATTAATAATATTATTATTAAACTCGTTTTCAAAATTACACGTCCAGGCCGAAAATAGCTACAGCTGACATGTCAGTTTTATGCACACGGTCACGAAGTTCAAATTGTTTACAGTGGCGTAGCCAGCCCGACGATTTGGTCCGCTATGCAAATTTCAACTCATCGTTATTCAATTCTTTAGAAATTGGTTGTGTTGATAGTTTATAAACATGGCAATATTTGCATAATGGACTTCCATAATGGACTGAATCGTCGGGCCGGATACGCCTCTGATTGTTTACAACTTTCACTTTTGTGGTTTGAAATATTAATTTTAATAACATTAACAGGACGTTGTGCAGGCGTATTTTGCGGGCTAAAATGAACAAACTAGCAGGCTAAAATACATTTAAGCCCGCTGCATTTTAAATTGTTTACGTCCGCGACAGAATTGATGGCTGTAGAAAAACGAAAAGAGAATCAAGATACGAAACTATCCTTTTTTACTAATCTCCATTCTTCTTTTTGTCTTTTGAAAACGGTTTAATTATATTTTTCTCCGTATATATAAACCGAGTTTGTTGCTGACTGACAACGAAATTACCATTCCATGTGGAGCGTGACGACGGCATTGGATTTATTCTACTGCTGTATATTTGCTGTAATATAGACTGTAATCGCCCTCTAAAGTTATTTATAATAAGTAATACAGTTGATGTTCTTGGGCATATGTTTTTGACCTAACTCATGCAGACTCATTTTAAAATGAGTTAGGTTAAAACATATTTATGCCCGCGAGCACCAACTCTATTGTTGTCAAAAAAATATTACCGCCATAGTTGAGCATGAGCCGGTTTGTTTATACATTATAGCTAAATTATAGTTTATAGTTAAATAGTTTATAGTTAAATTATAGGTTTCAGTACATTGGGTTTTTCCAAACTTTAAAATAAAGTCATTTATGGAACTATTTCTGTTGTTGATGGTTTGCTGTTTGTTTTAGTGTGTATGTCTAGTTCGTTTTGGTTCAATATGGTGACATAAAACTGACATTTGAACTGTAAGATTATCTTTTGGTCACATATAATTCTGAGCAGTTATAAGTAAAAATACAGCGCAGTGTTTTGATTTCATGTAAAATCTATACCGTTTGTGAACTCAGTTTGGTCACGTGTTTAGTCATATTTCGTCACATCAGCATGCATGCATGTTCCTTGAAAATTCTC